ATATTCAGGCTGAAGATGAAGAAAATTAACACAAGTTCACAAGAACCAAAATATGACCTTGAATATATCCCAGCTGAATGTAGAGATCATCTGAAGAACAGATTTGATATATTAAACATTAAGACCGAAGACCAGAAGAGCTGTGAGATGACATCAGGAAAAACAAAAGAACATTAAGAAGATAAGAACGAAAGAAAAGACCAAAATAAATGTCAGAAGAGACTCTGAAACTTGCTTTCCAGTGTAGAGATGCTAAAGCGAATGAAAGAAATGAGGAGGTAAAAGAGCTGAACAGAAAATTTCAAAGGGCAGCTTGATAAGAAAAAAGTCAAATATTATAATGAAATGGGCAAAGATCTGGTAGAAAACCAAAAGGAAAAAACACACTCAGCATTTCTCAAGCTGAAAGAACTGAGGAAAAAATTCAAGGCTCTACTTGAAAAACTGACGAATTTTTTTTGGCAAAATATTGAATGATGCAGAAAGCATCAAAAGAAGATGGAAGGAATACACAGGCATTGCACCAAAAAGAAATGCTGCACATACACCCAATTAGCACGTTGTTGTTAAGTGTCATCGAGTCATCTCCGATTCATAATGACCCTGTATAGGGTTTCTGAGGAGCAGCTGGTGGTTAAAATGACATTGCAGTCCAGCGCATTAATCCGCAGTACTACACCAGGCCCTTCCTAAATAGGCCTTTTCCTGGAAATTCCCACCTATCCCTATGAATAAACATGATGCCTTTTCCCCACCCAAAACTTAAAAAAAAAAACACAACAACAAAAAAAAACCCAAAACAGCAAGACCTCTGTTCTGGGAGGTGGGGGTTATGCATTGCATTAAACCCTTCCCATGTCATATTACAAGCTTCTTTCCTATAATAAACCTTTGATTGTAGGGAAACTGCCTCATCTGATTACTCTTTATCAGTAGAATGTAAGACACTTCTCTTGAAGGGTGACAATGTAGTTAACATTTCTGGTAACATTTTTGTCCATAGAATAATTCAGTATTGTAATTTTTGAGGCTTGAATTTTTTCTTCAATTATTTCAGTTTGAAAAATGCAGAGTGAGTTCTTCCTTTTTGGTGTTCTAACTCCAGATTTCTGCACATTTCATTTTAATACTTTGTCTTCTGGAGCAACGCTTTGAAATATATTCAGCTCTTTCTCTTCATCATTTCTTTCTTTCACTTTAGCTACTCTATGTTCAAGAACAAGTTTCAGAATCACTTCTGATACCCATTTTGATTTTTTTCTCTTTCCTGTCTTTTAAATGAATTTTTGCTTTATGTATTATGTTTTTGATGTTATGCCATAACTTCTCTGGTCTTCCATCATTAGTGTTCAATGTGTTAAAACTATTCTTGAAATGGTCTCTAAATTCAAATGGGTATATCATTTTTTAAAAAATGTTTTTATTGTGAATTGAGTGATAGTTTACATAGGGGAACATTAGTTTTACACTCATCCTATCATATTCGTTTCATTGCAATGATTACAATCCCTTGCCTGCTTCATCATTCAACAGTATTTGCTTCTATTCTATTGCCCCCCCCCCTTTTTTTTTGGATGTGCGCCAAAACACTCAGGAATATACAATCATTCAAACAGCCAAAGGGCACACCCTGCAAGCCTGCCCCACCGGCAGCCAGCACACATCCCCTCTTCCTCCATGAGTCTAGAGTCCTCAGCTGCTCCATCTCTCCATGTCATCATCTCTGCCTGCAGCCCTAGCATCACTTCTCTGGGTAGGGTCCCTCACTCCGCTTCTGCTCTTCTACCTTGATAGTCCCAGTGTCCTCAACTCTCGGATTGTTAAGATGGATCACTCACTCCTTTTTGCTGGAAAATTTCTACCTCTACAGTTGCGATAATTGCAATTAGTATTGATAACAATTACTCACTATTGAATCATCAGAGTCTTGTCCCCATCTCCTTTCACCAGACCTGTCTAGATAGGGTTAAAACCACTCAGTGGGGATTCTAAACACCCCCCTCCCCAACCCCCGGAATTCGGAATCTAAATTCTTTCTTGAAAACTTGTAAACCAATCACTTTGTGCCTTTTCAGCGCCCCCCCCCCCCCCATTTTAGGTAGCCAGTGTAGGAGTTGCCCATCCCTATCAACCCTGTATACAGAGGGGATGGGAATGATTCTTGCTATAAAGATTCTTTCCCTCTTGGTTGGTATTTTAAGCTACTACATCCATAAGTGGAATCCTGGTGTGGCGAAGTGGGGTTAATGCACCAGACTGCAAATTCATTTGAACTGCAAGGTCGGTGGTTCAAGCTCACCACCTGCTCCTTGGAAACCCTACAGGGTCACTATAGGTCAGAATTGACTTGATGGCACTTAACAACAACAACAACAACACATCCATAAGTATAGATCAAGTTCATTAGATTGTAGGGATTTACACTTGTTTTCTTAAAAAAAATTTTTTTTTTCTTTCCTCTTTTCCTTCTTCTAGTCAGGTTCTGAACATCTAGCCATTGAAGGTAGGTCCAATGGGCACTATCTGCAAGTTTGGGTGCTCTTGTGCATATCCCCTCACTTCATATCAACCGGATGCTTCACTCAGCTCTAGCCCTCCTTGGCTATGTTGTTGTCCATAGGCTCAGGAGTGCCTGGATTTCACCGTAATTAGGGCCAACTAGCTCTCACTATACTCCAGGTTGATGGGGGTCTATGTAACTTGGTTGGTCTCAGTCCACCTCTTCATTGCTACTTTCCCCCCACTTCCTCTCACCAGCAGACCAATGTGGTCATCAGTAAGCTTACATGCTTGCTCATGTATTCCCTTTGAGTTTCAGTCTTGGGAGGCTGGTATATCATATTTTTAAGGAGTTCTGGTAGGGTAGTAGTTACAAGTTGGGCTGCTAACGTCAAGGTCAGCAGTTTGAAACTCCTGTAAAGAATTACAGCCTGGGAAACCCTATGCAGGGTCGCCGAGTCGGAAGAGACTCAACGACACACCACCACCACCACATCATATTTTTACACAAGTAACAAACACCTTCTATTTTAGTTTGCCAACTGCTCTCCCCCCTTTATCCTTCATTCCCCAGGTATTTTGTAAATGTACAATGCTTTAAAAATATTTTTAATTTTACAGCAACAAGTTCAAAAAAACAAAAATGGCATGTTGTTGTTAAGTGTCATTGAGTCGATTCCGACCCACAGCCACCTTGTATAGGGTTTCTTAGGAGCAGCTGGTGAGCTTGAACTGCCTACGTTGCAGTTCAAACGGCTTTGCAGTCTGGCGCATTAACCCACAGCACCACACCAGGACTCCAAAAATGGCATAGTGAGATTTATAAAATCTGGAAGGAGGGAGCAGTAGGTAAGCAAACATAGAAGGCGAGTATTGTTTGTGTAAAAATAAAAATACATTACTCAAGGTAGTACTGTGGCAAGTCACTGGTCTTGCAAAATTCTATCATGAGATCTCTGGAGATTCTATTACCACGGTTGTATTTTCCAACTACTGATTCTGCACTTTTGTTTCCAACTTTCCAATCACCAATGCACGTTGACTGCTTGTTTGATCAATTTCAGACTGCAGAAGTTTTTCTTCATCTTTGGTATTAGTGTTTGGTGCTAGTCCGGTGAAATGATGTTTATTTCCATCGCAACTTTTGGGACGCTCCTGAGCATCACAGGAACACTAAGCAAGAGAACCCTTCCAAACACTCCAAAAAACCCCCACAAAACTTTGCTACCTTTGTATTGCGCAGGCGCACCTAGCTCTGTTTTCCGTTGGTCCTAAGCCCCACCTCTCGCGCGTCCTTCAGGGAGGGAACCGTGAGCTCGCGCGACCACTCTTCCCTCCGTCTCTTCAACACATCGTCGCAAACGGGGTCGGAAAGCGTGGCAGCGCAGGCGCAAGCGCAGAGAGTGGAGGCCGTGGTGGTGGCGGCTGCTGGCCAGTGTAAGATGGCGGCGGCGTTGGTGGCGGCAGTGGACGGGGCGACTGGGTCTGGAACAGTCGGAGCAGCTACTAACGGAAAGATGGCCGGAGACGGGAAACAAGCTGCTGAGCCTCGCCGGCTTCCGTGCTTGTAACTGCCCCTGCCGGACAACCCCCACCCCTTTGACCTACCCGGTCCGTGTCTCGTTCCGGCTCGGCCTGCCCGGTCCCTTAGCCTGTACCCCCGCAGTATGGGCCTGACCCCTTCCCCAAGTTCCCAGGGCTCTGGTTTCTTCTTCTGACCCTAGTCACCGCCAGAAGGTCTGACTGCCCTTTTCTTCAGGTTAGCTCTGGGATTCTCCAAGAGCCAGCCCCACAATCTACAGGGACATCTTGCGTTGTCAGGTGACCCACTTAGGTGCTCCCGTTTTTTTGCTTAGATTGGGGGACACGGCTCGCTCTGCGTCTCCAGTCACCTCAAAGCCGCCGTGCACTGTGCCCCCTCCCCCATCCTGTGTTGGGCTCATTACCTTGTACGGAAGGCCGAGGTCCAAGAACCCTGGAGTCGGTTGTCTCTTCTGGTCGTGTACCTTTTGTAATAGAAGTCTCCTAGTTTACCTTCCCCCAACCCAAATGTTTCGGGACGCCGTAGAACGGTCCCATTTGGTCCCTGTTAGTTGGAAAGCATCTGATGGCTTTTATTTCTGATTCATATGATTGTTGCTGGAGTCTGTAAACAGACCGACACTAGCGCGATCGCATTCTGTCCGGGACTTCCCCCCATGCGCTGTGGCTGCTTGTTGAAAGGTTATTTGGATATGGTTTTGAGCTAAGAAGATTCCGATTTTCCTCTTAAATTCCTTTTACGTTTTAGTGGAGATTACCTTCTTGACTTCTGTTCCTTGTGTTTCCGTTTATTTCGGTAACTGTGTGGGTTATTTGCTTAGAAGTCAGAATTAGAGAAGTTATTTTGGCTTTAGAAAGTTCTAAGGAGCCCCCCCCCCAAAAAAAAAAAAAAAGCTGAGATATATGCATAAGTAATTTTTTATTGTATTTCGTAGAAGAGATATCTTTGACATTTAAACTTGAACTTTTCTTAGCCCTTCAGCGAATCTACAAAGCATTTTTTGAGGAGCTCAGCCTGGCCTTGTTTCAGTGATAAAGGAGGAAAGGTGAGTTCAGGCATTTACGTTTAAAATTCTGAGTTCAGTACAGCCACAAGTGCTGACCACTATAGGCAAAAAATTCCTGTCACAGTTTCCCAAAGAGTTAATATTCTTGGCAGTGCTCCAGTTCTGCTTAAATTACTTTTACAAGTTTAATTGGCTGTGGGCTTCTTGACTTTCTGCTCTAACGAATTGCTGTATATATGCAAATGACTAGAGTTAAGCCTTGAAGTGAATGTGCAACCCCTCCACCCCCATGCTCTGTTGTTCTTTATACATTTACCTCCTATTTTGCCTTTGTGTGGATCATGTTTCTTAAATTGTTAAAAACTAGGAATTAATTTACCTGAGTTCTCTACTGTCTTTTTGTTAAATCAAGTCTTTTTTTTACCTCTTAGACCTTGGGTTGTCATTCCTCGCCATTTAAAGGAGAAGAAAATTTAGTTGCATGTGACTGCTAAAAAGTTAGGGGGTGATGAGTGCTGCTGCTTGCCTTTAATTGGTGTTTGAGTTCAGTTCAACTTCCGGTATCAAGCCGTAAACTCCTTGACATTGAGACACTAACTCTAGACTCATAGCAACCCTATAGGACAGAGTAGAATTGCGTTCTAGAGTTTCCAAAGCTGTAAATCTTTTCGGGAGCAGACTGCCTCATCTTTTTCCAGCGGAGCAGCTGGTGGGTTTGAATTTCTGCCATTATCAGATTAACACTTAACCCACAATGCCACTGGGAATTTCTTTTCTGGTCATAAAAACCCAAAACCAGACCCAGTATCATCAAGTCAATTCCGAGTCATAGCTACCCTGTTTAGAGTTTCCAAGGCTATATAACTTTGTGGAAGCAGAAAGCCTCGTCTTTCTCCCTTAGGGCATGTTATTGTTAGTATCCTCAAGTTAATTCGACTTCTTGTGTAGGGATTTGAACTGCTGATCGTACAGTTAGCAGTCCAGTGCGTATCCTACAGCATCACACCAAGAGTCTGCATGTTGTTGTTAAGCGCCCTCAAATTGATTCCGACACATGGCGACCCTGTATAGGGTTTCAGAGGAGCAGCTGGTGGGTTTGAACTGCTGAACTTGGTGGTTCGCAGTCCATTGCTGACCCTACATTGTCACTCACACCAGGAGTTTGCATATGTGATGGTAAATCTTTGGTTTAAAAATAAATAAAATGGCTGCTTTTTTATAGTTGTTCTAAAGAATTCTTGGTCAAGAGAGAAGAAATCAGTAATCCTGTGTATTTAGCAGCATGTTGCTGTTAAGTACCATCAAGTTAGTTCTGATTCATAGTGACCCAGAATAGGGTTTCCAAAGCTGTAAATCTTTTTGGGAGCAGAAGGCTTCATCTTTCTCCCATGAAGTAGCTGGTAGGCTCTAATTGTTAACCTTGTGGTTCAATCCAGTCCTTATCCTATGAGTCATGACATTTGATTCAACAGCATGGGCCAGTGCCTCAAAGAGAGTCAGAACTTTTGACTTTTCTTCTAAAGTTTCTTGCAAGTGTAATTTTTGTGATACTGTTATATTTTTTGATATCAAAGAACAGTTCATGAGAAGTAACAGCATTTCTGAGTGGCTCTGGAAGGTAGACCTAGCTGAGAAAGTAATGCTGGTGTCCTGATTAGAAAACTCTGGTTGTGCACTATTAGTGATAGTGGTGGTGGGCTGCATGTGTAAGATATAAAAGGTATTAAGGGAAAAGTACAGTCTTTAGAGCCAAGCAGACATGGGCTTAAATGCTGGGTTTATTAGCCATGTGACCTTGCATAAGTTACTTCTCATTTTCAATTTTCACTTACTTCCTAGGGTTATTAAGAGTATTGTATCGTTGTTGTTAAGTGCCCTTGAGTCACTTCTAACCCATAGCAACCCTGTATAAGGTTTCCGAAGAGCTGCTGGTGAGCTTGAACTTCTGGCCTTGCTGTTCAAATGGACTTTGCAGTCCTGGGCATTAACCCACAGCGCCACATTGTATTAACTTGATATAAATCTGTTACATGGTGTGGGGCTGCACTTGACCGCAAGGTTGGTGTGAATTGCAAAGCCAGTGGTTCAGACTTACCATCCATTCCTTGGAAACCCATTACAGTGTCGTGTGGTGCTGTGGGTTAATGCACTGTACTGCTAACCACAAGGTTGGTGGTTCAAACCCACCAGCTGTTCTTCAGAAATCCTATACAGGGTTGCTATGAGTTGGAACCAATTCAACAGCACTTTAAGAGCAACAACATTAAATGCATTCCTTAACTAAATAGGAATGATTTTCCTTTGTTCATTGTTTCCTTCTTGGTCTCTCTATTACCACACCTGATCAGAGTTGACAGGTTATAATTCCTTCCTGCTACAGTGTTGCTGACTTCTGCTAGAGGGGACTTCTTAAATTTCATGGAGAAAATCCATTATCTTTCAATTCTATTTTTCCACGAACTTTTTGAAGTCCCTTCATGTTATGCCTTTTTTTTTTTTTTTTTTTTGCAATAAAGGGAATACATTTTTTCCAACTTACTGAACTCTGCAGCGATCCTTAACAGGTTATCAAATAATTAGATCATGAAACAGTCTCTGAGTGAGTGGGGTTAGGGCGTTAGGACTGCAGACTTTTTCATCACCACAGCGAAACCATCTTAATAATAATGAAAATGCAGATGGAAAGTTTTTACCTTCTTCTGTTGGGTTTTCTTTTTGGGGGTGGCATGGGCACATGAAAATTCAGAAACTGTAATAGCATTGTGTTGAAAGCAGCTTTAAAATTGAAGCCAGGGATCACTTTAGGGTTGATTAACTTCTATCATCGCCAGCCAGGGGCTAAGTTCTCTATTAGAGGGTGAAGACACTGGAAGGGGTGACGTGCACTGAGACTGTAGTTTTAAGTCTGGAATAAGGTGGTCTATGTTCAGGAGTGGCGGTGGTGATGTGCTGTAGAGTCAATTCTGACTCATACCGACCCTATATAGGGTTTCTGATACCAACCCTATATAGGGTTTCTGACCCTATATAGGTTTCTGAGGCTATAAATCTTTACAGGAGCAGGAAGCCTCTTCTTTCTCCCATGGAACAGCTGGTAGTTTCGAACTGCTGACCTTAAGGTTAGCAGCCCGACTCTTAACCACTACTCTACCAGAGCTCCTTATGTTCAGGAATAGGAAAGGAAATTGTTAAGAGAAGCATAACTTTGACTATTCCTTATTACTTTATGCACAGGGTAAGGAACCACCCTTCCCCAGTCTTCAGAAAGGGTTTAATGTTTTATGTTCCAGGTGTCATCAATATTCTTAGTACAAGGGTTATAAATAAAATTTTCTTCTCGTTCTGAAGGTATTTTTATAATTTATAATTCAGCGTTTTAGTAGTGGCATCTTACCAGGAAGTATTTCCTAGAATGGTTGGAATAGGGGATTAGGTATGTTTTTAACTTCTTAGTTCCCACCACCAATATCTGACAGGGCATTGTATATAGCAGTTCTTTAAATGTTAAGAATCAGTCCTAGCACCAAGACTTCAGTGTTGGCTTGGATCAGCACTAAAATAGAAGGAAGATGGAAGCTGGTCTCCAGAGAGCTTTTTTTTGTTTGTTTTTAAGCTTTTTCTTGTGAATTGAGTAGGGTTTACAGAGCACATCATCAGTTTTACACTCAACAAGTTATATAGTTGGTTTCATTTCAGTGATTGCAAGCCCCTCAGTGTACAGCATCATTTTTCTATAGAAGTGTGCCATGTTGTGAGAGAGTGGCATGCTTTATGACCTGTATTGTATCAGGCAAATTACAGGGTTTTAGAACAGTAAATGACTAAAGTCAGCTTTCAGTAGGTAGATTTATTATTAGATTTTTTCTACTGTGGAAAAATTGTTTCAAACCTATTTCTTAAATGCTCTGATTATTAAAGAAACAGAGGTGTCTAAAGTGTTTTTTATTTTTTGTTGCCGTTTTGGTCTTAAGTGGCTGATTATTTTGACATATGTCTATTTCCCTAGTGGTGTGGTACTCCTTATAGATATGTTTTTCATTTGGCTGACAATTAAGCCACAGTGGTAAAGTTCATTTCCAAACCTGAAGGGTGACTAAGGGCCCTAAGTCTTGGGGTTTCACCATTCTCTACTTGATCAATGAACCTGGTTTTATTTTTTTATGATTTTGAATTTTGTTTCACACTTTTCTCCCCCTCCATGCAGTTCCTTCTAATGTGATCTCTTTCAGAGCAGTCGGTGGTGGTACCTGGGCACCATCTAGTGGTTTGGTGCCAGGGTTGAGGAGACCAATGTTTGTGTGGTCCTTTAATCTATTGGACTGATTTTTCCGTGTGTTTTTGATTTTCATCACTCTTCTTTCCTCCAGACAGTGGAAACCAATAGATGGCACCTTAGGTGGCTGCTCACGAGCTTTTAAGACTCCACTTGCTACTCACCAAAGTAGGATGTAGAACATTGTCTTTGTGGACTGTGTTATACTAATTGACCTTGGTGTCCCTAGAGATCATGGTCTCGAGCCACCAGACCCAGTGAGTCATTACCTCAAGGTATTTGGTATGTCTAAGACATTTTCATAACTTTGTCCCTTAGGAGTGCTTTTTATTGTATAGCATTGATGTTACAGTTTATGTTTAAGTTTCTGAGATTGAATTAGCTGTGTTTTTTGTTTCTGTTGTTTTAGCACATTATCAGTGAGCCAGGACAGTCTGCCACTTTACCTTTTACTTGTTGGAATCCAGGAACCTGAATGAATTGAACCATATTGGTCTCAGCAATAGGTATGAGGGTTGTTGTTGTGACGTGCTGTCGAGTCAGTTCTGAGTTATAGCAAACCTGTATAGGGTTTCTGAAGAGCACAGTCTAGTGCTGATCCTACAGTACTACACCAGGAGTGACAGTATATCTTCATTTCAAAGATAAATGGCAGTGTGTTATGTATTGTTATGTCGAGTCAGTTTTGATTCATAGCCACCATGTGTAGGGTTTCCGAGGAGTGGCTGGTGGGTTTGAACTGCCAGTTTTTTGGTTCAATGACCTT